GTGGATGAGTATAATATTAATTCCTTAGCCTCCAAGAACATACCTATAAACTTGTTTAACCCATCATTAACCTGTAAATCTAGTCCTTGAAATTATTTCATTTTTATTGTAATGATGAATCAAAAATGGAAAGGAATTGAAACGGCCCATCTCTTCTGGAAAAATCAAGCACCTTTCAGAGAACTTATTTTCACCAATGGAAAAGCATTCATATCACATAGAAGGTAACTGGATCCAGATGCAATTAGCATAATAAAGCAATGGTTCTATTCTATGGATCTGGATCTACATCTGGATCATGGCTTCTATTTCTGTAGATCCATTTCCATTCTGTTAATGAATTCTGAATTCAGCAAAATTCAGAATAATTTCTAAATGTCTCTGAAGAAAGCCCTGCATGATTCTGATGTTTGATGACTTTTTTTTCTTGTTCTTTCTTAGCAAATAAATTTACAGCAGGTGGTATCAAGTAAGTGACTTTAACTGATCTTTAAAAAATTAACCCTGCTTGGAGTTGGATAATATTTGCATGGCAAATAAGCAGGACATTCCAGGACTGTAGGTTAATTGGAAAATGGTGAAACAAATCACCAAATAAAGCATTTTAAAGCATTTCTAAATGCTACAGAAAAACACATAATCACCAAAAGTCAAGTTTGACTAGAGGGAATTTTGATGCTTTAAGCATCAAAAAATAACTAGTAGTAGTTAAACATGTCATTAATTTCACTTGATTATGAAGTAGTCCTAATGAGTTATTAGAATTCTATGGAAAGGATAATTAGTAGTTTACTAATGTGAACCTGAGCAATTTTAACACAAAGTGCAGATGACATCTAGTTCCCTTCAGAGGCCTGTGAGAGCCCAGGAGAGAGCCTTCCTTCTGAAAGTTTGTTATTAGCCAGGTGAGAATGTGAAAGCAAGGGCAGAATAATAAAACTGACTGTAGCTCAAACCAGCCAACCAGAGGACATAGCACCTATTCAAATTTATGGGCCAAGAAATGGTGTCAATTATAAGGCTATCTTTGTATGTATGATTTTAGACAATTGGAGGCTTCTTCAACCTTTGGGGGGAGGCGAGGGGGCAAATTCCAAAACAAGCTTCATCAGTATGGAGTTATAGAACTTCTTTATCAGACTTGTTTTATTTGTTTTAAGTGCAGCTTATAACCGTTGTAAAGATACTGCATGTGCCCATGAAAAATCTTTTTCTTTATGATGGCCTTGGTCTAATGCAGCAATGCAGTCTAGATGATCTGACATCCACTACATTCTAAGAGGCATTTGAATGTGGCATTTGAAAAAAAAAAATACTGAATTCACTCAATTGAGAGCACATGTGCTGAACTAAATGATGCCATCTGGGTGCATTTATGGGAAGGGCATACAAGGGTAATGTTCATGCTGAGAAATGGTCTTTTGACTCCATGCTCCAGTTTGAAAAGGCCTATTTGACCTGGCCCAGTAAAGGCTTCAGTGTAAACCAGCCCAGTACAAGGGTTTAGCAACCCACTGCCACTTCCTTCTACCATCAGTTTTCTTGAAATTATATGATATTGCCTATTATATCAACATGAGCAGTAAAAGGTAATTCATGAAAGAATGGGGTAAAATAGGTAGATACTGCAAGCTTGTAACAATATAACTGCTACCAAGAAATATATTCTTACAGAAACATTTCCATAAAGGAATTTGTTAGAGAAAGATTGTATATTAGGGCTCTCCAGACTTGAAAAATAATTTGGGAAAAGTGTTTTGGATATCACAGAAATTCAGCATCTATCTGCAATTAAAGCAATCTAGTTTTTTCATGCTTCTGTGCAACCCTGAATAAAAAGATTTTCTTGTGTTTTTAGCGGTCAACTCATGTAACTCTTAAAGCAGCCATGTCATCTTTCAGGTTCATGAAAAGGTTGAATACCTTAAAGAGAAGTGCTGTGTCCATGTTAGGCTGAGGCACTTCTTGCCAACACTTTTCAAAGCATGCCCGGTTGAACAATGTACATCTGCAGTCCTATAGAGGAAGAAAATAAAACTGACATTGTCCCTTTATTACTCCTCTGATCGAATGGCACCAGCTCTTTCTTAATTATAATTGAAATGGAATATTATCAACAGCAGCAATACCAGAACTCAGAAATGAAACTGGTGGATGAACCAGAGAAACAAAACAAATAATCCAATTAACATTACATTCAGTTAGAGTTCAGGGTAATGAAATACAAACAGGTATATTCCATCAATTTGGCAAACTTGTTGAGCAAGAATAGGACCAGTCCAAAGTCCCCCTATATTGATGGAAAACAAACTTTCTAGCAAAGAGGGAGCCTGAAACTCACTTTTCCAGAATCTCCTAAGCCAGCGGCTAATAGCAATACCACTTAGACTTATATACTGCTTCACAGTGCTTTACAACCTTCTCTAAGTGGGTTACATATTGCCCCCAACATTTTACCCACCTTGGAGGAATGGAAGGCTGAGTCAGCCTTGAGCTGGTTAGGATCAAACTGCTGGCAGTCAGAAGAATTAGTCTGCAATACTGCATTCTAACCAGTGTACCACCACGAATCTTCATTTTAAAAAATGCCTACAGACCTTTCTGTCTCTTTGCCTCTCCTGATTGCAAACAATTTTAATAAATTCTTTACACATTTTAAAAGAAGAATAGATATACTACAAAACCACATACCCTTCTAACATTTTTTATTTTTGAGAATATCTCTGGATTCAGAGATGGTCTTAAAAAAATGAAAATGATTGGTGCCTGTAGCTTGGTTTTGTAATTAGATGTTGCTAGCCAGAAAAATGTGAGATAAAATGTAGTGACAAGAAACCTTTGAAGAATGATCATAAGGCACAAATCTCTCTCTGTGTGTGTGTGTGTGTGTGTACACATACATACATAGATGCACATGTACACAGAGTATATATTAAATTATTTTTATCTGCATCTAACTGCAAATAAAATAGCTCGTCCTATTAATTTGCATTCCTAAATTAGTAATTCCTCTTAACTGCAATTTATTTGGGAACAGATAGGAGAAGGATACAAAGAAAAGAAATAAAGTGGCTGGTGCATTATTTTCATGAGTCCTTCTTAAAAAAATAATTTTGAATCAAATGTAGTTTCAAAAATCTGATGAAACATGACTCAGGGCAGTGGTGGGATTCAATTTTTTTTACTACCAGTTCTGTGGGTGTGGCTTGGTGGGCATGGCAGGGGAAGGATACTGTAAAATCTCCAGTCAGAGGTGGCATTTGCCGGTTCTCTGAACTACTCAGAATTTCCGCTGCCGGTTCTCCAGAACTGGTCAGAACCTGCTGAATGCCACCTCTGACTCAGAGGTAATGAAGAGCAAATCTACAGTTTGCCCTGTTACCACCACCACCCATTACCTTCCTGTTCAGGTTTCATTTTAAAACAATGTTTTTCAAACTTGGCAATTTTAAGATGAGTGACTTCAGTTCCCAGAAATCCCCAGACAGCATGCTCACTAGTGAACTCTGGGAATTGAAGTCCATATATCTTAAGTTGCCAAATTTGAAAAGGTATTTTCTAAAATTATTAATTTGAATGTATTGGTTTTCCTATTTATCTCTACAAATTAAGAGGAATTGGTTCATAGTTAAGAACTGTGGTTCAAAATGCTGTGAAGTTGGTAGAAAAACTAAAAGTTGGTTTGTAGGTCAGCTGAGTGGAGTCTGCATCAGCTTCAATGACTCTTGGAAAGCCATCTCTTCTTCATGGGGCCTTCTATTTTTTCCTATCTTTTTGCAGTGCACAAAATGGGATGATTACATTTCTTTGTCCCTTTCTTATGCAGTTTTCAAACTTAGAAGAACAGGCTTGAAGTGCCTTTCAGCTTAGTGTTGTTGATGTACCTCAACATTAACAACTTTATCTTTCCAACCCAACTAAAACTCTGGAATTGTAAAACTCTTTCCCAGTTCCCTGTTCCTTCCTACCTAGTACTACTTGATCCATTTACTGCAGGTTATTCTGTTCTGGCTATGTCAGGCCGAAATGTGTTTTAGAAACTGAAAGGTGAATATCTCTTCCACTATGAGGAATTGGGACCAGAGTTTGTACAGACATGATAGTGTATATGTATTTAACTCCTTCTAGTGACTCCATATTTGCATCACATATATGCACTACTGTTCTTCAGTTTTGATCCAAGAGCTAGGTGATCTCGTTCATGGAAATATGTAGTTAGCATATTTTTCCCAGAAACAACGACTAGTGACGGAAATGTGATTCTCCCATAACTAGCAACTATATGAGAGATGGTTTGGTATAATGGTTAAGGTACCTGGCTAGAAACTAGGAGATTGTGACTTTGGGCCAATTGCTCCCTCTCAGCAAAAGGAGCCAGGCAATTGCAAACCACTTTTGAAAGAAGATTGCTAAGATAACTGCAGGACTAAGGCAGGCAATTGCCATCCATCAAAAATAGATTCAAAGGGACTTCCGGTTGGACTTCCTCGATGACGGACTAGGGACTGCGATAGTCTGCGGCTTCGATCTGTGCTCTCCCGTCGGAGGGCTCCGATCACCTGTATCTGGGGTCAGAACCACCCTGTAGGGGTGGTGAAGAAAGAGGAGACCACCATCTGGGTCAAGGGGAGCTGCATCTCCTCTCTCTGGCTTGGCATTTTACTCCTCTCTGAAGACTGCTGTAGCAGTGGTCAAACATGGCCACCCTGAAGAGGAAGAGGTAACTGGGACAAGATTGTGCAGGAGTGGTAAGAAAAGGACAGCATGGAAACTGGGCTAATTTGGCGCAACATCTAAATATAAGGTACCCTGGAATGTAAAATTTAAGAAATATTTAAGAAAGACAATTAAAGCAGTGGACAAAGAAAGGGAAGAAAGAAAACTCTTTTGACAGCTGCCAGGGGCTTCGAACTTAGAAAGCCAGAAGATCTGCTTAAATTGGATAAATATATGACTTTGACACTAAATAGGCTTAATCCAAGCTGAATTTGAACGTGTCAAAGGGAAACTAAAAAATAACAATTGTCATTCAGACTTATTGGATTTTTGAATTTTAACAAAAAAGCCTCAAATAGAGAGAAAAAGCAGGAGGAAAAAAGAGTTGAATTTGGTCATAATGGAAAGTTCCATCCAGTGACAAAAGAAATTATTTGTGTGGGGTTTTTTTTTAGCCTGGTTGTCCTAAAGCTTCACTTGATACAAAGTAATTGAAATTTTGAAACAATAAAATAGAGACCCTGGAAAATGACCCTGAAATATTGAACATTAAAACAAAGAAAAAAGCAGGAAGAAACTACAGCTGTGTAGTTTACAGTTTATGGCAAAGCCCAGAGAGGGAATAAAACCTAGGGATTCTCAGCATCTCTTCCCTTTTCGCCCAGAAGTTTCAAGGCATGTGATTCTGTTCATTAATAAACCTTCTTTCCAAGCAACTTCCATGATTACAGTATCTTTTTCCCCACTTGGAACTGAATCCAGAAGGATATTTCTTCAAATAACATCATTTAATGAACTGAGCTTTAAGTGTATTAAATTGTATCAAATCTTATTCTAGACAATCCAGTTTTTCTTTGTCCCAGCCTAATTTGGGGGCAGAAGATAAGATGTATGCATCCCTAGCACAACATTTAATGGCCTGGACAACCATTCAGACTGAAAGAAATGGTGAATATACTATATTATAGTGTAGGATAGTACAATATACTACAACAAACTTTGTCACCACCTCTGACATGTTAATTCTGGCTCACAGCAATTATTCATTTTTATCTCTGTAATTGTGCACATCACCTTTCTTGAAATGAGGAGATTAAATAAAATTTATGCCTGAATAAATTATTAAGATACTACTGAATAGTTTACAAACAGAAAACATTATCCGTTTAGACACTTTTCACAAAATGTCAGGAAACCAGAATCTGTCACAGAGTTTTGAATTTTTCCTTCCTGAGCAATATCCATTTCTGCAATAATAAGTCTACAAACTTTAAATACCTAAGAAAAGGGAGACAGAGTAATCCCATCTTGAAATTTAGCAGAGAGGAAAAAATACAAACCTGTTTGCAGCAATTAAAAGTGTCATCTCCCACACAGAAAACTGTTTCAGATTTCAGCTGAGGTAAGTATATAGTCCATAAATAGAAAGTTTGAGATGAAGCAAGCTTGGCTCACAACAAATGTTGACATGGAGGGAAGCATAATTATATAATGGAAAAGGTAACAGAGATACATTTAAGAAGTTGTAATAAACAAAATGTAAATCAAGGTGAAAACTATTCAGTTAAGTATCTGGTAATGTTTCAAGAAAAACAGTGAAAGACTAGGGGACAAATAAGCCAGGATTTATTTATGAAAAATGCTAAAAAGTAATTTGCAAAAATAACATACTCTTTAGTCTGTTATACCCCAAGTGAAACCTGGGTTTTTATTCTAACTATTTTTTCCATTTTGTTCTCTATTTTTAAAAACAAAACAAAACCCAAAGTAGTATTTTCTATAGAATGGTGTTCTTTCACACTTTTTTTTTTAACAGCATGCTTAGTTATGAGATTGTATCAAAGAAAGGAGTCAGCTAAATTACCAGGGGGAAACTGATCTAACATTAATCTTGCATTGTTTGGGGTTCCAAAATAACTGACAACTTTAGAAACAATGTTTTGTAATTAAATATTTTGATCAAGTAAATAGCTTCAGTATATTTTTAAAGTTGAATTTTCTCTCAAACGTTCTGTGTATTTAACTCCCCTTTCCATAAATAAATGATTACTACATTTTTTTAGCATGGAAATGACTAAGGCACCAATCTTGACCTCTTATCAACTGCTGTACAATTGATAGCCTTACATCACAGAAATGACCTTTTGGAAATGAAATCCTTAACTGACTTCATAACGATAGCAGACTATCTTTCAACCATGAATGAGGATACTATCAGATGCTTCTGCACTCTCTCTAAATTTATATCTTTGTTTCATTTAATTTACTTATTTTATTTTTATTGCTAGGGCTTGGGCTACAGTCTTGTTCCAGACAATTATCTGTTTACAATTAACATAACTGTCACATCAGCTGGGTAGTAAATATTTCAGGAGTCCACTGGAGTCTAGTATCTGGTCCCTCCCAAAACCAATTTCTTAGATCAGTCTTTCCCAATTGGGTCCCCTCTAACTCTTTTAAGCTACAAGCTTCAGAACACACTGAGAACTAGAATTTCTCAGATAGATGCCCACTTCAAGGCTGAGGAGCATAGACAAAAAGTCCTTTAATCCATGGGAAAAGCAGGAGAAAGAAGTAACATTTGTTTGCAGTGGGAATAAAGAGAAAGTGCATATACATGTTGGCAGAAAGCAATTCTTTTGGTGGCTTCTTTCTAGTCTGACTCTTTACCGAATCATAGCATGTCAGACATTTGAAAACTCTAGTCAAGTCTGAACCCAGGGTCTATTCAAGACATGCCAATTGTAGCTTCACAGTAAACTTTTGAGAAAGCAATTGATTGCTCTATATCTCTTTGGGACTACGGTTACTTCTTTCCTCTCTTGTTACAGTAAGATTGCTTAATAAACAATCCTGAAAAGATTCTAGATTGTGAGAATACTATAGGCATAAAATACCTTGACATCAGCTAAGCATTTGTCTATATATTTTGTGACATTTCATGGGAGAGAAGGGCCCTCATTTATTCACCAACATGTAAGTATCTGAACAGGTACATAAATTACTGTGGCACAGTCATCTCAATTATAACAAAAGTGATTATTATTCTATTTAAATTACCAAAAGCAACTATTTAAATTTATAAATGGTTAAATGGTTAAACTGCTTTAAATCCCTGGTATCTTTTGCTGATGTGATATATAGCAATAGCACTTAGACTCATATACCACTTTGTAGTGCTTTACAGCCCTCTCTAAGCGGTTTACAGAGTCAGCATATTGCCCCCAACAATCTGGAACCTCATTTTACCCACCTCAGAAGGATGGAAGGCTGAGTCAACCTTGAGCCTGGTGGGATTTGATCTGCCAAACTGCAGGCAGCTGGCTGCAGCAGAAGTAGCTTGCAGTACTGCACTCTAACCACTGCGCCACCGAGGCTCTGTGTATGATATACATTGCCAAGCTTCCTGCAGAAAGAAATTCGCACTCAGCATTCAGGTGTTTAATTAGCTTTCCACGTGTAGGAGACCACTAGGCTGAGCCTGAGAGAGAAGTCAAATGTGTCATCAGTTATGAATGCCCACAAGAGATCTAAATCCAGCCCACCTGAATTCCTTTGACTTTTATCTGCCACCGATTTACTTTGACCATTAGTAGCTCAGATTCTTGTAGAGAGATTAAGCTTGCAATAAATCTTCATACTCATTTGAAATGCCTGAATCTCCTGATTTCCCTGGTGGTTGGCACCACTTCTCAGCACATCTGAATGGCACCGCCATGGGAAGACTGATCAACTCTGAAGCCCTGCTTCACGCTTACCCCAAACATCAAATTGGAATGTTCTCTTGCCAACTTTACAGGAAAAAGCAACAGGGTCTTTATTCTTGTGTCTTAAGCAGCTTCAGCAGCAGAAGCCAGTAATTTCCTATAGAATCAGAAATAAATATTTCTCATATTCATGCTATGATATTTTTTGTTTTCGTGAATTTTATCATTGCTATTATTGCATGCCATGCATTTGTAAGAGAGCCAAAACCATTACATACCAAGAGAGAGTGTGAAGGTACAGATAAAGACCTCAAGCCTGAACTGTATGGTGTCAATTTAAAGGAATGCCAAGTTTTTGACGGTTTATTTGGTTGTAGCAATGTTTTCTGTGCCATGCATGCTATGGTGCATAATCTGTACCCTTTGGAAGAGTTTACTTGTGGAATACTGTATTTTAGGGATACTTTATGAGGGATCAGAGCAAGATTTGAAGGAGCAAGAGAAGCTTTTGTGGACGTTACCAGGGTATTTTAAGACTAAATGTGACTGGCAGAAGATACAATATTGCTGAACGTATTCCTGTAAACAGAGAGCAATGCATTATGCAGAGCAGAATTAGTTGTGTGGGAATTCTTGATGGAGTTCCTTCCAGCTGAGTTATCGAAGCTGTGAGAACAAGCGTTGATAGCAAAGGCAAGGTGACAAGCCCTTAAGTGAGCTGCTGAAGTATGGAGCCACCAAAAAGCACCAGCCACTCTCTTGTAATCCTAAACTCCTGACTTGTTTTCCCAGGGCCCCATCTACAAAATAAGAACGTGTTGGCATCAAGAGAACAGCCTCAATTTAGGTCATATGTTTAGTTCTTGTTTTAAGGATGATTGATATTAAGTCTCTATTTTCTCATTTATAGTTTCAATAGCAATTTAACCCACAATATTTCTGGTACATTGTCATGTAGCTGGTTGTCTGATATCGTAAATCAAGATGTTATCTAAAACATGGCTGTTTTGAAATGGCTTCAGCTGAAATCAGTGGGGTTGCTCCCAATGACACCTAATGAAGGCTGCTAAGTAAGCTGTCCAAACGAAACGGTTGGATTATTTATGAATAGTGGCAATCACCTGAAGACATTCCAATGAAAAAGTTTGGTTGCATTATATTCTTAGAATAGAACATCAGATCATTCCAAAACTTGTTAGCTTTCTGAAATAAGAGAATAACAAAATAACAGAGTTGGAAGGGACCTTTGAGGTCTTCTAGTCCAACCCCCTGCTCAGGGAGGAAGCCCTATACCTTTTCAGTCAAATGGTTGTCCAATCTCTTCTTTAAAACGCCTAGTTTTTAACCATTTATAACTTCCGGAGGCAAGTTGTTCCTTCCACTGATAAATTGTTCTAACTGTCAGGAATTTTTTCTTTAATCCTAGATTGCTTCTCTCCTTGATTAGTTTCCGTCCATTGCTTTTTGTCCTGCCTTCAGGTGCATTGGAGAATTGACTCCCTCTTCTTTGTGGTAGTTCCTTAGATATTGGAACATTGCTATCAGGTCACCCCTTGTCCTTCTTTTCATGAAACTAGACACACCCAATTCCTGCAACCATTCTTCATATGTTTCAGCCTCCAATCCCTCAATCATCTTTGTTGCTCTTCTCTGCACTCTTTCTAGAGTCTCAACATCTTTTTCGCATTGGGGTGACCTGAACCTGTACAAACCAGCTGAATACCACCACTGGTTCTTACCAAGGTGTGTGGGCACTGTGACCTCTACAATCTCTACTTTGTAATTTTAAACTCTTCTGACTCAAATCTTTCTCATTCTGATGACCTGTGCATGTGTTAAACTTCAGCTATCAACAAAGCCATTCTGTCTCAGAATAAGGACACTTGTAACTCACTGTGCAGTGTTGCTGTTGTGGGGGAAAATAAGAGGAAGAAGGACTATTAGATATGTTTGCTGCTTTGAGTTATTTATAAATAACAAAAGGCAGTCCAAAAATAAATAAAATTTCAACATATCTGGTGGGCATGAGCTTAAGAATAGTCTAGTGATATCTGGCACAGCTATTGTTCTTATTTTATTTGTATTGTGTGTTCATATTCATTTTATTCTTTCCTTATTTATTTTATTTTTATTTTATTCTGTCAGAGTGTTTGCAGCATGACTACTATTGTGAGACAAGCCAGGAGCACAACCCAGCATACAAAGGCTTTGTCTTTTAACAGTGGTTTATATAAAAGACTGCTATATACATACATATACATGTTAGGAAGTAAAAACATATGCACATCCATAGATTCCCTTTCCTTGTCCATAGCATCCTTCCATTTTTCTTGTTCTATCTTAGGCAATGACAACATCTCCTGGTAACTTTGTGGTTCATACTTAACACTATATACTCTAACCTCACTTGCAGTGAACCACTCATTACTCCTTTCAGATCTCCTTGGTATTATCTGTTCCTGTGTTTCTGTGCTTTCGCTTTTTATCACAGGTCTATCCTCTTCTATATCTACCTCTGACTCGTTCTCCTGTCTCTCCTTTATTGAGCTGCTTTCCGGTAAACTAGTGTTATGCATTGGCATGAACACTTCATGATTAGCATGTACCCTATCCCAAGTATTCTGTTCCACAAAACTAACAGATCTTGAAATCACTACCTTTCTAGTTCCATCTGTAAAGCTATACCCTTTGGATCCTGGCTCACATCC